CGAATATTGGGGATAGCTCCCAAACGCTTAGGGATAGGAATGCGAAACTTTCAGTAAATTTTTCGCTATCAATTTGACATCTTCAGTACCAAACAAACCTTTTTGACCTAGCACCCTTGATGATGTCACAGGGTCCATTTTTCTAGACCCCTGCACAGCAAACTTCGGCGCCAGAGACGTGAGCTTCAAACAGCTGCCAAAAATAGAATTTTAGAGATAAAGACAAATTACGAGCACGGCTGCGTAGCGTGTGACCTAAGGAATTAGGAAAAATGCAAAAATAGTTTTAGTGACTTGAGGTCAAAGATCAGGTCAACAACCCCAAGCTGGGGTTTTAGTTTTTTTCGCAAATTTCTTGTAAAGGAATCGGAATCCGTAAGGGTTTTTAGAAGATTGAAGAAAAACAGCTTTGTGTCTTCGCTGAGATCTATAACGAAGGTAGCTGCTTATTTCATGTGGTTTTAAACGGCTTAACATTAATATAAAAATCTCATTTGACATCAATTTTTGTGAATATTTATTACACGACTTGAATACAAAGTCTAGATTTCTTAACGTGACATTCCACCTAGCACTCCTGTTGCTGCTGTTGCTGTTGTGTTGACTTGTACAGTTGATACTGTGCCGTCGGACCGCCGAGCGCTGCGGGACAGTCTACTTACCCAGCACCTGTACTGGCGCTATGGCCGAGAGGAAACGGGAGCGGAACAGGAAGGAAGGGGGGAGGGGGCAAGTTAGCTGGACATATTGTTGTGCGAGGTAGCAGCTTTAAAGTGCCTTGAACCTGCTTCATCTTATAAACAGCTGGAGGTCGGTTAATCAAAGCAATGAGACGTCCTTATGCGAGGATGCAAATTTATTTTAGATTTTACGCATCGACCGAAATAAGATAAAATGACTGTGATTTGTCGCATCTATTTGTGTCTTTGGTTACCTGCTACTTTTTCAAGTAACTTATGTTACATTGGGATAGCTATACGTAAATTACCAAAGTTCTGATCCCCACCTTCCGTCATAAAGCGTGACTGCTTTCGCACGGCCATGCCTAAAATATAAATTGTGGCTTTGTTCTGGCCCTTTGAAGACAAAATGAAGTTCTTAATTGTTTTAACAACGCAACTAAACCGGAATAAGTTTGGTTGGTTCTGTGCTCCTTGTAAGCTTACTTGCCAAAAATACTATAAGTACAGCAAAACGGATACTCGACGCATCAAAACGGATACTAAGAAGAAATTACGATGCAAATTTGTTCTGATGCGCCATACCACAATCGTAAACGCATACTACGACGCATCAAAACGGATACTAAGAAGAAATTACGATGCAAATTTGTTCTGATGCGCCATACCACAATCGTAAACGGATACTACGACGCATCAAAACGGATATTGAAGAAATTATGATGCAAAATTTGTTCTGATGCGCCATACCACAATCGTAAACGGATACTACGACGCATCAAAACGGATACTAAGAAGAAATTACGATGTGAATTTGTTCTGATGCGCCATACTGATACCACAATCGTCGCACAACGGATCTGCGCACGTCAGTCCATCTCCATCTAACATCTTCAGATCTGTCATCAGTTGACCCCCTCGACTTGGCTGTGATGTGAACTGAACCATCACAACCTCCTTGAGTGGGTGAGGTGAGCGACAGAGCCTTCGCGATACCGCCAACAGTGGGAGACTGCCCAGTGATGGAGGAAACAGACAGTGGGCTGGTCATGGTGGACAGTGGACAGCGTCCACAGTAAGCTGTTGGACAGTGGAGAGCCCTCACAGTGGACTGGTGGACAGTGGACAGCGTCCACAGTGGACTGGTGGACAGTGGACAGCGCCTACAGTAAGCTGCTGGACAGTGGAGAGCGTCCACAATAAGCTGCTGGACAGTAGTGGACAGTGGACAGTGTCCACAGTGGACTGATAGACAGTGGACAGCGTCCACAGTGGACTACTGGACACAGTGGACAGTGTGGGTCCACAGCGGACTGGTGGACACTGGATGAGCGTCCACAGTGGACAGAGACGGAGCCGACAGTACCCAACACACAGCGATCCCAGGCCCCGGGCGGCCACAGCCGGACGAAGAAAAATAAACAGCGACTGAAATTGACGAGTGCCGGCAGATGAAGCTTGGGTCACTGTCCCCTCTCCATCCCTCCTCCGTTCCCCCTGGCCGAAACCAGATGCTCCAATCTAGGAGTAAACAACCGGTATCGAGCGGTCGCTCTGTTCCAGGACATTTCGTACAGCTCGTTTCCTGGATCATGATACGGAAGTAGATGTTTATTTGAAAGCATGTTTCACGTGATTTTTTTTCCAGCAGTTGGAACTGTCGAAAACACAGTTGGAGCTTGAAGCAGCTGGATGATTTTATTTAACGTTTAGTTAACGTTTGTAATGGCCATTTTGGAAGTAGGGATGCCCCCTGCGTAGGTGATTATTTACCAACCACTTAACTTATTGACTGATGCCAGCACCCTTAGTTGGCATCAGTGCATAATTCTGTTAAAATGGCCTAACTTCTACTTCATTGACGTCATTCATTTCTTATCAGCAATAATGCCAAACATATTTCGGTACCTATCCATAATGCTTGTAAACAGATATATTCGACAAACGAGCTTATTTACGCTCCCAATCATTTCGTTTCTTTTCAGTCGACAAAATAAATAGGTGCTAATTAATGAGTTTTCAAATTAATTAATAAAGCAGTAGTTAACAAACATCACACTATGATTATGAAACAATAAATGCACTTTAAACACTAATCTGGATGATCGTTTCATTAGATCTCTCGATGCGCTACTCGTACGCCGCACTGTGGTACAAAGTTGGGCCATGGAACAGACGGCTGATGAAACATACACCGACCTTTCATGCGCCGTGCACGGGATGAGGGGCCCCGTAGAGGTAACGGTTCATGAAGCTTTGCGGAAGCCTCGCCTGTAAATTTCCTCTTAGACAGTCCGTACAGTAAACTGCACGCGCCGCCTGTAGCCTGTTGCCTAGCGTAACGTATACTCGACGAACATCCTTAGCAACCGTTGCTAGAACTAGGATCAAAAGACAAAGCTCGAATTGATTTGCAATTGCTGGTGAATTGCATTTGAATTGCTGAATTTATTTGCAGTTTTTATTCAGCACCTTTTGTGACTCCTGCAACGGTGATTGATATTCGGTCTCTGGTCTGTCTTTGTTATCCCTCGCCCGCACATGCCATTTTCCCATCCTAGAACGCACATGGGGGGGGGGTGGTTGCCACCCCCCCCCCGCGCCATTTCGTTCCTGTTGGAGATAGAGCTTAGCAGTAAAGACCAAAAAGATTCTTTGGGAAGAGACGAATCCAATGATACCCAGTTTTACCTTCTCAGGTCAGTCATTGACCTTCCAGGTCAGGTCAAACTAAAAAATGTTGCTGTTTTGGGTCACCGTTGGATATCAAGTGCGCTGCTTATCAGATACCGATGACGATGCTGTTTTCTGGTGCCAAGCTAGCTAGAACCTCTTTGTCACACTATCCGACCAGAATTTTGCTGCTGAGGTCATTTCAGGTCAAGTTAGGTCAAGGTCAATTATATGTGTTTGTATGTCTGTGTGTGTCTGTGTGTATACTGATGTGTGAACCGATTGTTTTTGGGTCCATATCACATGAAATCATGATCTGAGAAGCTTTTACCAAAAATGCAGTCAAAAAACTTCACAAAAAGTAAATTCAGCTTGCCTAAAACGCAATTATCTTAGATGACCTAGGTTGACCTTGACCCTGACCTTGACCCCTGTACATCGTCGAACAACATGTTCCATGATAGGTGGGAGGTAAGACTGGCAAAAAAGGCCGAAATCAGGGTGTCAAAAGCTCACAAGGCCCATGGCAAACGCAAGATGTTGAGAATTGGCCATTTGGGTCATGACATGACCTGAAAAACAAGGTCATATCTCCGAAACCAAAAATCACAGAAACTTGAAATTTTCAGTGGACATCAAGAAAGGACAGACGAGCAGCTATACGAAAAATCAGCTTTCTAGCTCTAAAAATGTTGAGTGCAGAGCAGAAAGACTGCCTGGGGGGGGTGGCAACCACCCCCCCCCATGTGCGGGCGAGGGTTATAGTGTTCTGTCGGAATAGGTTGTAGTAATCTTGTGTCGGAATAGGCACAAGACCAATCTTGATTGATCAAAATATCACTTACACCGTTAGTAGAAACTGATGTTTGTCTGTAAATTGTCCTTACATTTATGTTATTTGAAATACGTTCACCGTGTTGTTTGCCCCATTTTTACACCCTGAGCGCGCCACAGTCCCCTATACCTCCCCTGACCACGTCCTGGGCGCGCCCTTGTCCGTTGCACCGCGATGGCCCGCGTGGCCCGAGGGTGTATGAGCCCATCAGAATGGTATGTTTGTTCTGTGGCCGCGTGGTGCAGCTGAGAGGGGGGGGGGGTACAAGGGGGCGTTGACGGGACGTTATTGCTACAGTAGACTGCAGAGAGGAGTTTGCAACCAGCCGCCGGTCGGTGTCCTACCGCGGGGTCTCTGGGGGTAGGGGAGGGGTCAGACTCAGACACCCGCTCCCCTTCAGCTCCTCAGTCGACGTCAACACACGAGACTCAACATTTTTCCAACACTCTCAACAGGACCCAACACCAGACACAACACTCAACAAGAGCTGTGCTTTCAGTGGAGTTAGGGATTAGGGCCGCCATTGAAGCTGTCTTGTTTGTCATCGAAATGATGTAAGCTACGGCAAATTATAACACTGGAAGCGTGGAGGTTCTAGTAATATTGTGAAATTGCTCATTAATAAGATTGCTCAGTTGATCTCCTGTTTCTGGCTCCTGGCCCGGAGACAACAACCATAATGGTGCGCATAAAAGTGCGCTATTCCGCAATGGATAGACAAAATTATGTGTAGTAGGTATCAATAGGATGGGGGGAGGTCAGTTACTTTTTCTTCATCGATTCATCTGCCAAGGTAATTCAAAAAGTCCCAATTGCTGGCCAGCCATGTTTCGAACTAAAACCAAGGACGTCGGACTAACATTACCTTCAGACGAGGACAGCAACTCAGGACAGTTCAAAACCTAGCGCGCTACGGCCGTCTATCATTTGCCGATGGGCAGTTTGCCCATTTTCCACGCCACGCCGAGACCCACAATAAGCGCCACCCCCAGCAGCACGCCGATGACGATGCCGGCGATCTTGCCGGCATTGGAGCCGGAGGCGGAGTCCGGGTCGGCCAGCGGTCCCGGATCGTCGGAGGGATTCTGAAACGTCCGCAGCTGCATCTTGGGGTTGATGTGAAAGGTGGCGTCGAGTTTAAACTCGGCCGCCTTCAGCGAGACGGACGGGTCCTTCGACATTTTGCCGAGCGCGCAGATGACTGTTATGCTGAGTGTCTGGTTGCGGCCGCGCAGGTGCAGCCGCTCGCTGGGGAGCTCGTTGTTGTAGACAGAGCTGACGCACTCGGTACGCATCTTGTTGTGCGCGGCGTCGCCCCAGTAAAAGAAGCCGGTGACCTGGCAGTCGGCAATTTCGAGGTTGTTGAGGAAGTTCACCTGTCCGAAGGAGGAGCCGAAGGTTTGCTGAATCTGCTCGAACGGCTGATTCACAGTAATGGTGGCTCGCTTCCGGATGTGGTTCGCGCGCGCCACCACTGTGATAAACTGAAAGAACACAAACTGCTGAAGGATCAGGTTTTCCGTGTTCATGTTCATTCCGCGGTCGGCCATGTCGTATAATCCAGGCGATGTGATGTCCACCATTACCTTTGCGCGGTCCAGGACAGGGAAGAGCGGCGAGCCGGTTTTACTGCCGCAGTCCGAGCCTGAATAGCCCTCAGGGCACTCGCACTTGCAGGTCTTGGCGAAGTAACCTCCGTTTAAACACTTGGTCCCGCTGTTGCCATTGTCGCCGCAAGTCTTGCGCCAAAGAACGTCACACTTGTAGGCGACGTTCATGACAAGTTTGTCGTAGTGGGTTTGCAGCATGCCCGCGTTTCGATGGTAGTCAAGCATGTACTGGCTGCGCGGGTCACGCGTCACGTAGACCATCCGGCCATCCTCCTTGGCGAAGTCGGACGCGCCGTACTGCATGATGGACAAGAAGTCGTACGGCATCGGAATATCCACCGTCTGTCCTTTGTCGCACATGGACGCCTGGTACCAGGCCTGCTTCACGTTGTTGTCCAGCTGCCCGTCGATCTTGATGTCGAGGTTTTCGTAATTGACCCAGATGTATTCCTGACGATCGGGACGCGACTGCTCGTGCTGCAGACCCAGTGCGTGGCCGAACTCGTGCGCGGCCGCCGCCAGCTCACAGCCGTTTGGCTGCACGGACATCTTCTGTGACGAGCGAGACCAGCCGTTGGAGTAGGAGTTGCCGACGAGTGACCAGCAGCCACCAAACGAGCCCACACACACCGCGCCATGACCGCGATTTTCCGTGCACCCGCCCGGCTGACCTCGGTTGAATTTGATGCACGTGGTGTCTGCCCAAGACTTTACAGCCGCCTCAAAGACCTCTTTGTCGGCCTGCGTTTGCACATCGTAGTAGTACCAGACCTGTTGCTGGTCGTTGGCGTCGATCCATAACCTCTTGCTCTGGATGTTGCTGCGATCAGCGTATGACGGAATGCCGGTGAGTACTTGTGAAGGGTAGTATGCTGTATCTCCCAGAAACACCAGAGGGGGTCCATCAGTGAAATTTTTTACTTCGTATCCTTCGTTAACTAGCAACTGGTATAACTCATCATTTTTAAATGGCGGTGATTGTGTGCTCCGATCTGCATCAGTCTCCTCTACATTTCGTTTGTCTCGACTTAGAGTTTCTTTGTGTTCTTTGACAGCATTAATATTATGAACAAAAAATATTAGAAATAAAATTATTTGCAACTTAGTCATTTCATTGCCAATTTAATTGAAAAATAAATGTAGAACGGACTCGCCTACCAATAAACTAATAAAAAGCTTCATTTTTACATGTGGCCTGTTTTAATTAATGTGCGCCAAATATGTTGCCGTGCATTTGCATTTTTCCGTTCCCTCGTGCGTTTTCTGTGACCACTTCCATCACCGTTTTCCGGGTCGGCTTGACCTCGGTTGACTTCGAAAAGTCAAGGTTGTGTGGGAAACCCGCAATGACTGAAGTGACGTTAAACATTTTTCCCTGATTCGTTGATTGATCCGACATGAAAAGTTGAGATGAGTTAAACTTTTCATTCCATCTAATAATTCATTTCTGTATTTCAACATTTCATTACCTGCATGTTATACGTACATTTTAAATTGTTTGAACGGTAAACTTTTATCAACTTCTCGGGAGTGTCTATAGCCAGATACAAAATGCAGACGTTCGCCAATCATTTGCAACCGTTTAGGATTTCTAAGATATAAACTTGAAATGTGTACGAGCGAATTAAATGCAAAACGTCGTCTACCAAATTCTGACCTACCAGTTATTGAGACGAGCGGTCTCACCCAGAGGGCAGCTGGGTTCTGGTCGCTATGGCTTAAAGTCGATAAAAGAGATGGTGAAAGCAACAATTTCCTTTATTACGGTAAACTGGCATCTAAACTTCTAAAACTTATGTTTACTTGTTAAGCCGCGCATAACTGGGGGAGGAGGGGCTCTACAGAGCCCCTCCCGTTTTTCTGCAACATCTTTTAAACCGCTTGACGTATCAACACGAAACTTGTATAGTACCTTCAGCAGCATTAATTCCAAACCTTGTGTTTAAATTACAACTTTCTAGCTACCATAGGTCAGCCGGCAATGACGTCAGATTGACGTCATGTTGGCCGATTTTTAATGCAAAACATTGAACTGCGTTACTCGCTCTCAAAAGCTCAGTTTTTAAGCTAGATCCAATTTCGTTGCATAAGTGGACTTAGAATACATGCGTTGCTCAAACTGTTGTTTCGGATTTTCGAAATTCTGAAAATTTCGAAAACTATGCCTACATACAATTAAAATAGTTATTTCTTTTATTTTTCAAAAACTTTGAGTTTTCGAGAAAAAAATGGAACATAGGTGATAGTACACCCTCCGATGACCTACTCCAGAAAGTTTTCGCCCAATATCTCCAAAAATGTCTGAGTTATACGCATAGAAAAACTTTCACAATTTTAGAGTTTTCAAATCCATTTTCAGTACGTTTTTGACATCGTACAGTAACATAAACAGCACCATCGTGTTCCTGAGCTCAAACTGCATCTGATACACATTTTTTGTTGAAGAATTTCATTTTTAAAATTTAACCCGCGCCCGGCTGGGGGTCCTGGATTTCCACGCCCTGCTGGGGGGGGGGGGGGTGTTTGAACACCCCCCTTGTAACTCGGCTCGTGGGCCACGTAGCGATACGCGGAAGGCGGCGTTCGAAAGAGCGTCAAAAATAATGACGAAATCACTTCGGTCAATTTTTTGGTCAGGTCAAAGGTCAGGTCACTAGAGGTCATTGAAGGCAAAATTTCGCCGATTTCCAGGTCGAATGTCGAAAATTTCCAAGAAGCCAACGCATAACTCGAGAACCAATAGAGCTACAGCGCCGCGGAAAAGCGCATTCGATAGCCCTATTAAAGCCCTTTCTGATTAATTCTCTCAGATTTGACCTAACGTCAACGGTTTTGCCTGCAGGGGGCAAAAACTGCAAAAATAGCCATTTTTTTCGGAAACAGTTTTTCTGCAATAACTTTTGACCCATGCCTTGTACGAGCTTACTTTTACCGGCATTGTGTTCCTCTCGTCAAGACGCATCGAATGAACTATAAGTTGACCTTGAAAGGTCAACTTGAAAATTTGACCTCAGGTCAAGGTCATGACCTGACCGGAAAGGGTCATGTTGCATATCAGTCGATCCGTATCGTCGAGCTGAACACATCTAAGCCGTTTTCATCGCTCTAGCATGCCTTTATCAAAAGTTATTTGCGAAAAACTGTTAGATACCATTCGTGACCTAAGATGACCTCAGGGCATAAACAAGGGTCACGGACACCATTTTCATGTTCAGTGTGTCTAAACCACTTGTAATTCGGTGTTTGGGAGTGTTTATAATGTCTTTTGTCCAAAAGAGGCGCATTTCAATTTTCTCCCATTGACTTATAATGGGGAGGTCGCAAAATTGACCTGACCTTAGGTCATCGATATCAAAATTCTGAGATATACATTTTGTACATGCTATTGCTCTTAGCAATCGCTGAAAGTTTCAAAGCGATCGGTCACTCAGTGTAGCTATGACAGACATTGAAATGTTTTATGAGGTGAGGTCACTTCAAGTGACCTGTCGACCTGACCTTGAATGACCTTGGTCTGAAATTTTCACAACATGTGTAGAATTGATGCACGATAAGGTATACCAAAAACGGCGGCGCTCCGCGCCGCCGTTTTTGAGATATTCGCGAAAAACCACAAGGAGGGGTGTTCAAACACCTCCCAGCATGGCGCGGGTTAACCTTTTTTTACCGGCTGAAAGTGACCTGTCCTCAGCTAAATTCAACTGAAAATGACATTCAATGACTCAAACCATTCTGTTTTCGAAATATGAGTGAAATGAACCATAAAGCATGTGTCACGTGACTGATACATGAAATAAAATATCTTTAACCTAAGATGACCTAGCCTTGACCTGAAGAATTCAAAGTACAAAATTGTTTTGACTTGACCTATGGCGTCATCGGTGACCTGGAGGTCACTGAAATTAGGTTTCCTACGACAGTTTGTCCAGGGCGATCAGCCGCCGTTTGAAGTTTGACAATCGGTTCGGCACTTTCGGAGATTGGGGGGGGGGCTCTGTAGAATCCCCCCCCCCCCCGTCAGCCGCGTTGTGGCCTACCCCAGTCATGGGCGGGTTAACGATGATCCGAATTCAGGTGAATTTATATGTTTCGAAGTAAGAGCATCAGCTACCATAATTTGCGTGGACGGCAAAATATGAGAGAAAAACATATTTTAGATCCAGCTTCAGCATAAAAACCAAGAAAAGCCTTCAGCAACATTCGATGGTTGCTGAAAAAGCAACTCACGGTATTTTGACAAGGCCATTCGCCTGCAAAGAAAGCTCCCTTCTTGTTCCTCTGCAATCAATGAGTACAGATAAGATCGATGATGTAATGACCTCGTTTGAGCGATTACTTCGCTAAAAAGTGAAAGACTGTATCGACTGCGGGCCTCAAGACAGAACCGAGCGGCGTATCGGCCGGTAGCGTCCTCTATGTAATGTGTAATGTGTATGGGGCATTCCACGTCAAATCAAACACCGAAATCCGTCATCCCCTTCGATTTTTCTGAAAATTTGTAGGCAGACTGGGCATGGTTCAAAACTGAGTTACGTATAATATTTTCGAAATTTGATAACGTATCGCTGAGATATAGGTCATCGAATATAGCGAAAAATGCCACACATGAATTTTTTTAATGGCTATAACTCTGTTTCCTTTTCTGGTATCAAAATGATATTAGCAGGGTCTTATAGGCAATTGATAAGGCTTTGATTTTTTATTATCAAATTAAATTGAAGTGACCTTGAAATGCATTTGACCTTGAATTAAAACAGAAAAATTTAAATAGCAAAAAACACGTCACCTTCGATTTGGGTAATTTCTACATATTATGTCCGTCACAATGTTCCTAACCATCTGTGAAAAAATTGGAGTGGGCCATTCATAACTTTCGCGGCAAACGCCGTTTTCATGCATCAACATCACGCAACCGCGCGTGACCTTGAAAGACAGAGTCAAGACATGCTTGCTTGTGTACACTTTCTGAAATGAATGATTGCTGATTAGTGATATCCCAAACTCTGCTAGAATGGAAATGCATAGTCATCGTAGTCAAGCATTCACGTTCCATAGTAAAAGTGTCTCAGGCAAACGGTATTTTGCGGTGAATTTTGAGCCGTGTGGAAATGCATCATGAAGTAAATTCAACGAAAACATTATCACGCAACGATATCTTCACGTCTTTTGATCTTCACTATACGAAAGAACATACATTTTTGAGTATGTATGGGGAATTTCTAGTTAATCCAATAATAAATATGGCAGTTAGAGACCTGCTAAGAGTAACATGTTGCCGGCTGAGGCGGGCTCGGCCGATGCGGGAAACGCAGCAATCACAATTTTGTGTTTACACGTCCATATTTCAATTGTTTACCAACCGATTTTCAAAATTCTTTCACCATAAGATTGCCTGTACATTTCTTAGTCTTCTCACAAAATTTGACGCGAATCGAACGTAATCAGCGGTAGGGAGCGCGATGTGAAGACGGAACCGTTCCGTTCCGTCCCGGCACAGTCTACAATTCAGGCGGCGCGTAGCGGTCGGCGCCGGCCGCCGAGTCGCCGCGTGTTGCTGCGGCGACAGGATGTTCACTTTACACCGCTATTACTAGAACAGTTGTGAACCGATTTTCTTATTGCTTGCACGATGAGATGTCCAATTCAATTCTTGACAGGTAGCCATAATTAATTTCGCATTAATCTTATGAGATATTGGCGAAAAACAGGAGGGGTGGGCGAAATTCGTTCTTCCCCCTCCACTGCGCGTGCTAACATACGTTTGCATATGTGCAATTTTCTTCAAAACTTATGAATGGCCCACTCTAATTTTTTCACAGGTTGTTAAGAATATGGTAGGCAATAAAATATATGAAAATGAGCCAAATCGAAGGTGACGTGTTTTTTGCTATTTCAATATTTGTGCTTAAGAACAGAGTTAAGCAAATTTCAAGGTCATATATTTAAGTAGGTGCAATTCTAAACAAATGCTTAAGAAATTACCTAAACAGTAAGGTTTATTTCATTCAAATCAAACAAGTACAACCAAAGTTATGGTCGTTCAAAAATATAAAGATGCAACATTTTGCAAAAATTTGATGCCCTATATTTAGAAGACCTGTGGTCAGAATGTGCAAAAAACATCAATGTAATGTCCGGGGCCACACAGGAACCAGCTCACAAATTTATAATGAAATCGCTGATGGTAAGGTGCAAAACAGCCGATTTTTGTTCGATTTGACGTGGAATGCCCCGTATGTTTATCTTTGAGAGCCGTGAGGTAGCGCTGGAAGACGGGCGTGACTGTGAGTATTGCGCAAGTACGAGTAAGTATGCTTGACAGTTGACTTACTCAGTTGATGGAAACGGAGGGTCACTTTGTGATCTATATCTGTTCCCTCCTTCCATTCTTCAGGAGAAACATCAAACAGATCCGTGTTTTCCAGACTTCCCTACACCTGGCTGACGGCAACTTTCTCAGACAACCAGGGAAAGCAACCCAAACATACATATCACAGACTTCTCTATATATCACAGACTTTCTCTATATATCACAGACTTTCCCAAATCAGCGCACAGTCCATATATAGAGAAGTCTGTGTACCTATCCATCCAGCATCCAATAACGTCATATCGTGATCATGTGCTGGTCTCCGGGACCCATCGTAACTGTTTGAGGAGCTAGGTGACCTGTTTGTCTTGCATTCACCTTCGCCGGACATAACGATTTTCTATGTAGGTATGGATGTACCTGTAGGTACATACCACCGATGGGGTGGTGCTCTCGGTCAGAGCAGATTAAGCAATGCCACATCCTAAAATAACTTTTAAGTGCTTAAACTACTAACGTACTAAGTACCTTACTTACGACCTTTTAATTGTGTGTATATGTAGATAGTAATACGTCCTTTACTACTCAGTAGCCCCTATCCCGATGGTGGACGATGCCATTTCCCAGGATTCATCGCGTGTTACGTCCTATTTCCGATTCCGGTCTGTATTCGTACAATGTGCAGTGTGCAGTGTGCGCTGTACAGTGCAAATTCACCAGCCGGAAACCAGCACTTCCGGCTTAAGCCAGATATACATGAGAGCATCGAGGGATTTTCGGCGGAAGCTTCTGCTGCAAATTTAAGGAGCAGAAGATGTCCTTAATGTGTCTCTTTTTATTTTAATGACAGAAAAGGGCGTCAAGATTCCCATGAGTATAAATGCTCCATACTTGGCCTGTGCATTTGGTTCTGTGCGCTGGTGGCCTTATTACCTAACAGGTCACGTTCGGGTCACTATAAGGTCTTGCTCACGAGTCGATTAAAATAAAACACCGATTTAAGGTTCTAAAAAGTTAGTTAGGCCGTACCTAACTATATACATAGATATTGTCCATGTCCTTTGTTCATGTCTATATAGAAGCAAGACTTCTCTATAGAAGAAGAAAAAACAACAACACGTAAACGTTACCAATCAAAATCCTTCATACATTTTGTCATTTTGCTTTTTTAATTGTGCCATAAGCACCACTCCGTGTTGGCGTTTTGTCAGCCACTAACGTTGTGTGGGTGGGGTGGGGGTGGAGGTAGGGGTGGCGAATCCGTTGGACCCTCAGCTGTTCGGCCCGAAAAAAGGAGCGAGTTACCCGGGACGAAATGAAGCCGATAATACCCAATTTTGAGGTCTTAGGTCACTGCGTGACCTTCCAGGTCAGGTCAATGTCCCCAAGGCCCAAAGTCGGGAAGATCGGGTCCTGCTAGAAGTTTCGTAGTGAGGTTTTGAAGGGGGTTTTCGAGGTGCTGAGTGATAACCATAAGATTCATAAACTCGAGGAAGTCACCCGAGGTCAGAAAAGGTCAGTGACCCTGACCTGACCTTTAAAAGACCTTAACATCTACCATAACCCGGCAGTTGCTGGGGTATTTCGCCACCCACCGTTTGCTGGGGGGGGGGGGGGCGTTAAACGCCCCCAGCCGATAACTCGAGAACCAATAGGCGCAGCGAAACGCACGAGGCGGCAAACGAAAGAGCGCGACGAGACGCTTCAGATGAGTACTTTAAAGTTGAATTTTGAGGTCACAGGTCGGGTCAAGGTCAGGTCAAACACCTGAAATCGGGCTTTCAGTAGCATGGACTTCAGGACTTCGCAATGGGCGCCTCTCGCCATAAACTCTGTCAAAACGGTGCACAATCCATCTTATAAGGCCTACAAGAGTGTCAGCTCCATGTAGGGGTCAGTCAAGTATAGGTCAGGGTCAAGGTCAGGTCAACCGGGTAGGCACATATCCCCGAAAATCAAAACTGATATTCGCAGCCTGTGACACATGTTTTACAGGTAATTTGGGGCGTAGAACACGATGGTGACATTCATTTTATCATATGTGTACGTGTTTGGCTCAAAAAGTTCAATTTAAGAAATTCATGTACCATGGTCGTGAAGTAGTCACGAAAAATTGCCAAGATTCAGTTCAAGATTATGGAAAATGCGGAATGATAATCAATAATCGAAGCTAGCCATTTGATTGACCATGGTATTGGCAGTCTAATGGCGTTTACGGCATATCTGTATGTCTATTCTGTGATTTTATATGATTTTTTGAACATATGCCGTTTTTGGTCGAAAACTCAGAAATCATGACGTCACTAAAACCTCGATATCTCAAAAATTTTTCCGACCGATTTTTTTGAATCTTTGTCACAATAAACTTCAATCAATTCCCTACAGGTACCCAAAATTTGGCGCGCCGCAGCGCCGTTTTTATGCTATGGCCCGGCGAAAAAAGTGGGGGCGTTTAGCGCCCCCCCCCCCCCCAGCAACTCGCGGGATAATACATAGGACAAACTTCACTTCATATGTTGGCACGTTTCTTATCGCAAAAGTCCGGAAGCGCACTGATAATGTGCTTGTCGCCTGGTACGCCGAATCGCAATTCTGGCCTGACATGGTCTCAAGAAACAGTCCATGGGTCAACAAAGGTCATAAGGGCCAAGAAAAGGATATGTGTAAAATTGATAATTTGGAGGGTACTGTAAGCTTCGTCGCAATAGGCTGCCTTTTCGCGAGTTATTCGCGAAAAACCTCAGTGGGGAGGGGGGCTGTATATAAAGCCACTGGCCACTCATATCCACTCATGAATGAAGTTGATAGAACCCAATTATGGCACTCCGTCTAACCGCACATCTCTCGCGTATTGGGGTGTAACGCGCCAAAGGTCCCACGCGTCTCCCCCTCACTTTCACCGCAGATTGTAACAAACAAAGCCGCTACCATCGCCTAAAAATATCCCGGCACTATTCTATCGGAATTTGGAACAATAGCCTGTTTACCGGATCGCGTCGCTGGGGGCAGGTGGGGAGGGTAGGCGGTACAATAGCTCGGGCAGGTGTTATGGCACGGGCGGCGTTGAGTGCCCTGCCGGCCAGGGCCCAGTGTGATTGGCGATAGAAGGCCAGCCCACTACCAAGCTAACAGGAGGCCATGGATAATGGGTATGTGAGACCATCCATGATCCAATGGCCTCACCCCACGGCCCAGTTCATTTCAATATGCTTTGACCAAGCGGAAACCGGTGAGGAGTGACATTTGAATTAATGTCCATAAAATTACATTAAATGAATTGCTACTGCCAAACATAAAGTATTCATTAAACCACGCAAGGTAGGGGTTTACAGCCAAATGCTCCGGTGGGTGGGAGGATATCATATACCAAACCTGGAAATCTAAAAAGAAATAGATAAGAGTACCTAATTTCAGAAGCAAACAGGTATTTCTTTTTCCTCGCACAGGTCAATGCTGATGTAATTGGATGTCATCCAAGATTAAATATCTCAGTCATCTTTTTCGATGTGCCTAGCGAATGCAACCGTCTATCACTGAAAATTAAAAGGGCGTTCCAGGACGGAAACGGATAGTGTCCACTGTTCACCATTATATGCCACAAAATGTGAGCTGCCAGTCCATTTCCATCTCGTCCTTCCATAATCAATACTCAAATAACTGCACGCTTCAACGGAACTCAGTACGGAACACAGTAGCGTACGCACTAGAAGTTGCGTTACGCAACCCTTGCCCGTGTCTTCTCAAAATACTTCATCTGTCATATGACGTCATCGATACATCATCATTGGTGACGAAGCCTCGTTCCTGGTATCGGGGACTGCCTTCCTTCCGCACAGCTGCAGGGCCGCCTCGGCAGCGAGAGGGCCGGAAAGACCGCCCCGGCGGCACCCGAAGTAGGCGCCCTCCCTCGCTCCCGCAGAGCCGGTCCGATCACCGGTACCATCAGTCCGCCGTCAGACACCGCCGCGACAGGAATGGCCCGCGCGCTCCAGGTGCTGCTGGGCCTCTGTGCGCTCCTGCTGGTCGTCGCAGCACAAAGTAAGGCCTCGAGGTCGGGAAAACTAACTTTAGTTATTAGTTGGATGTGTATTTTTCTATAATTTGATTTTAGTGTAGGTACTATGGGTGAGCTCGATTATGCTATTTGCTGTGTTACATATATAACATACATACCTAAGTGATATAAAAGACTCATCAGTGACATCACTCAGGTGTGCCTGCTCATTACGAGTTCTTGATGTGTTTATCACTGGCGTAAAATAATCAACTGATATTTTTCAGACTAATTTATGCTGCTGCATTAAAAAAACTTCAAAAAATGCATGCGTCAGTTCTATGATGTTTTCATTCGTTCATCCAACCATCATATTTTCGTCCAATTCATTCAATCACCAACCCATTTTTCCTACGTCCATTCATTCATTCATTCATTCATTCATTCATTCATTCATTCATTCATTCTTTGTAACCATGTGATCTTAGGTACACGTATATCTCAGTCGAATCGCGTAACGTCTTCATGGTAGATTGTAAATAATGTTCACTTTATACCTATAATGACAGCTAAGATATGGATGAAATACATTCATTACGCACTGTGACAGCTTATTTTTTTTTCGTGTAACGTACTTATTCAAAACAGTTGATGACTCTAATATGTAATGGGTGTTGGAACTGTGGGTTTTGTGTACAACTTTGTGACCGTGCCGCTCACACCATACTCCGGTCCGACTATGCAGGCAGGACCTGCCAGTTGAATGGCAAGAGCGGGACGTGTCTCATCATCCGGGAGTGTCCGGCTAATGTGGCGCTCTGGAGGCAGCGTCAGATACGGCAGCTGCGGCAGGCACTGGCCGCGTGCGGCTCCTCCACGCCCAGCGCCACGGCGCCCATGGTGAGTGTGAAGGCCTGGGTGGGATCTGGGGTCTGCCTGGGTCCTGGGGGTGGGGTCTGTCTGGGACCTGGGGTCTGGAGTCTTGTCTGGGTCCTGGGGGTGGGGTCTGCTTGGAGTCTGGGGTCTGGGGTCTGCCCGAGAGCTGGGTCCTGCGGTCTGTCTCAAGTCTGGGGTCTGGGGTCTGCCTGGGTCCTGGGGTCTGGAGTCTTGTCTGGGTCCTGGGGGTGGGGTCTGCTTGGAGTCTTGGGTCTGGGGTCTGCCCGAGACCTAGGTCCTGCGGTCTGTCTCAAGTCTGGGGTCTGGGGTATCCCTGGGTCCTGGGGTCTGGGCTCTGTCCGCCGGCCGGGTCCTGGGATCTGTCACTCAGGTACCGGGTTGGCACGGTTTAGGCTGCGGTAATGATGACAGAGGGCCCGGGAGAGGCCAATGGAGGGTTACATTGCACTGGTGATCTCTCCGTCTTTCTGTTCTGACTCCCTCCCGCTTCCTGTCTCCATTCCTTCCCTCTTCTCACTCTCACTCACTCTCTCTCTCTCTCTCTCTCTCTCTCTCTCTCTCTCTCTCTCTCTCTCACTCTCTCTATCTCTATCTCTCTCTCTTCTCCCTCTCTCTGTCCCTCTCTCTATTACACCCCCACTCGCCCCTCTTGCCGACAGTGCTGTCCGGACAGTATGGACTCGCGCATTTCGCTGCCGTCGGTTACGCAGCCCGCTCGGTTCCGAAACCACCCCCTCTGCGGCCAATCCGACTTCCAACCGAGTCGTATCGTAGGAGGCGAGCCCGTCCGCCGGCTGGCTGACTTCCCTTGGATGACGGCACTGAAGTGGCCCACCACCGGGTTTCGATGCGGAGGTGCCCTGCTCAATGAGCGATGGGTGCTGACGGCGGCTCACTGCATTACCGAAGGCGGACCGTGAGTTTACTAAAGGGGAGCCGTGAACAGATTGAAAGGGGAGCCGTGAGTTAACTGAAAGGGGACCCGTGAGTTTATTGATGGTGGGCCGTGAGTTTACTGATGGGGGTGTGAGTTTAGAGGGGAGAAGGGGGGCATGTATTTTTGACGGCAAACCGTGAGATTATTCGCTTCAGCCTGTATCTACTCAATATCTGTCCGTTCCAGTATTTTATTTCCAATGACTTCCCAGTGTCCTTTCTAAGTTGTACCTATCTGTCATCTCCGTTCCAGTCTGATTTGACCATTGTTTGTTTATTCCAGTCTGTATCTAACCAGTGTCTACCCCTCCCACCCAGGGTGGCAGCTCGTATCCGTGACCTTGACCTCAGCACGGTGATCGATGACGACTTCGGGGATCCGCCGGAGGAGATCCGGATAGCCCGCACCTTTCCGCACCCGGAGTTCCGAAATGTCCGCGGCCGCGGAAATGTTGGTCTGTTCTCCGACGTTGCGCTCCTCAAACTGGACAAGGATGTCTCCTTCTCAGGTAGGGTATGACTGTGATGACACTCGAGATTGCTGATGAACAAGATGGTCAAGCATGTGGTTTTTCGTGGATGTTGAAAAATTCTCAATAAGTGAAAGATGTCCGAAGAACGCTTAGCTGTACTGAAAGAGCGCTGTGTTTTTAATTATTATCGTTTTTCGCTTTAATGTTTTTGCATTTCGAGTTTCTGCGCCATCACAAACAAATCTCAAAGTAGGTGTTGAACCTAACACTGCCCGCAGGCGAACCCGTTTGCACCTATTGTATATGAACCCGTCACGAGCCACCAAACTACTATTCTCGGGGCGTGGTGAGTACGATCTATTATGACTTGCCTTGCATGACTGGACGAATTCTGAAGTTTCATCCAAAAAATGATATTTTAGTGTTTTTTTTTTTGTCACATTTTAGGCGTGACTAAGCCGCTGTGTCTACCCGAGACGACTCGGACTGACTCCGAGTACGAGCGACTGAGGAGGAGCTACATCGCCGGCTGGGGACTCACCTCGTTCCGTGAGTGACTCAATTCGCTCCGGGAGTAACTCAACTCGCTCCGGGAGTAACTCAACTCGCTCCGGGGGTAACTCAACTTTTTCAGTTTTATTAGCATAATACACATAAAAACAAAAGAGAAATTAGAGTAAAATATTTCTGCAGATGCCGTTTCATTGCACATGCCGTCCCGGCCCCGGGGAGAGCTGTGGGATACCTACCTCCCCAGCTCGTTCGTGGAGTAACTTAGCCCATCCGGGAGTAAAGGGCACCGGTATCAAATACAGATTCCTACACTCCAACACTCCACTGTTGAATTTTGAGGTCCGCTGGGCGCTAAGTAGCTACTTAAATGACACCGATGAGTCATGTGATGAGCGTAATACGAGTCATGAATCTTGCTCTTTGTTAACTTAATCACGTAAAACGAGTCACGGGATCTCCAGTTTGGTATATGTACTTACCCATGTAGCATGTGCAACTACCGTGCACTGACAACGGACCCCATTGCTCACCCCCAGAGGGCTCGTCCTCGCCTCGTATGCTGTGGGCGAGTGTGAACATCACCGAACACCAGACGTGCCAGGAGGCCTACCGGCGCACACGGGCCGCCACAGTCATGGATGAGCACATCTGCGCCAATGGGAACGACCTAACCCAGCCGGGCTGCGACCCGGGGGTCAATGACCAGTCCTGCCTGGGAGGCGTCGACGCGTGCGGGGTAGGTGATCACCTGGGTGACGGTTTGGGTGACGAGCTAGGTGGTGTTCTTGACGATGGTTTGAGTAACGAAATGGGTGACAAGCGACAACGGTGCTCAGATAAGGCCTTCTTCCCTCACTAACTCGCCTGTTTGCAAAATCGCTCGGTTGACAGCAGGGTCCCTTTCACGCTTGGCCCTTTTGACCTCCGCTCACGAAACAGAGGGTCCTCTGATACTGCCCTCACTGACCCCCACCTACCGTGCCCCTTAGGGAGACAGCGGAGGTTCCCTGATGCTGCGCCTCGTCCCCTGACTTGCCCGCCTGTTATGTCCCCAGGGCGACAGCGGAGCGGAGGCCCCCTAATTATGCCACTCCCCTCCTTGACCCAACCTTCTGTTATGTCCCCAGGGTGACAGCGGTGGGCCCCTGATGCTGCCACTCCCCTCCTTGACCCAACCTTCTGTTATGTCCCCAGGGCGATAGCGGAGGTCCCCTGATGCTGCGCCTGCCGCGCGGAAACCGTCAGCGCTGGGAAGCGATCGGTATCATCTCCTTCGGCAACGGCTGTGGCAGCCCCACCCAGCCGGGGATCTACGCCAGGGTGGACCACTTCCTTGACTGGATCGCAAAGACAGTCAGCGAAAACTGAATGTTTCAACTGTCACCAGAAGCTGAGGCCCAGACCGTCAACGGAAGATGAGGGTTCGAATGTCAACTTTGAGTGAATGCCAGATCTGTCAACAAGAGCTCAATGTATTAACTGGCAATGGAAGCTGATCGGTCAGTCAGCGAAAACAGTTTATCTAATCCATGACGTGACAGTGATAAACGGCGGACAGTAAACGGAAACTGTCTGGCGTCGAAGAAAACAGTCACCGAAGTTGACTATCAGACGGTCGACTAAAAGCGACTGCCAAAAGAGCGGGGTAGGGGGAATGCGGGACTGAACAAGGAACCGTGTTGTGCTCCTGATGCGGCACCTCTGACTTCTTTGTAGATAGTGATGTGCCTGACCTGTACATAAGTAGTTTTTCATATGAAGCGAGCATGAAAAGTGGAGGTTTTAGTGGTAAAATATCGCCACTTACATTAAGCAGCACGCCGCGGTGATTTAGCGTAAACTGCATTGAATAGACAGTGTCAACTGTCAACCATAACGAACAAATGTAAACGGGTACACATCGAGAAGCAACGCTGTCGTATCGCTACAAATACATACATGATTTGTTGATAAATTTGTTTTTATTTCCGAAACAGTAAACAAGAGTGGAATTCATGTCCCTGTCCAGACCATACAACTTAGCGACACTTGGGCCGGGGAAGTACCGCTTCACTGATCGTACTTTTCTGTCGAGGTTCCTGCACAATGCACATCTATTGATCTCATATACATATAACTAGCATAGTTATATGGATATAAGAAACCTTAGTCTACATTTTGCCAGCATCAGTGACATTTTTCTCAACGATCTGCGCTATTTCAGGCACCTCCAGACACCTATTAAATATAAATGCAGCTAATCATCCAAGCCAGTGCGAGCAAAGCGCAGAACTTGCAAAACAACACGGTAGATCCCCTTACCACATTTCCAGGTTGATTCTTAGGCGGATTTCCTATGTTCCGTATTGCCAACAAAACCAAACGTAAGTCTGTTCCTGGCCGCTGTTTTACACAAAACTTAATTATGTCACCATACCAGGCGAGGAATTGTGGACAGAATGGGCCGGTCATATTCCGATAGCACAACACAGTAGCAAAACAGCTCCGATTCTATACCACATGGACGTCGAATAATAATTCCTAATGTAGCCTCAGACTGTGTGAAACACACTCATCAACAGGCTCGGTACGGGAAACTTAACCTCCGCTGCAGCATAATAACTTCGGACACTGCGTCAAGACATGCCATCATTGCTGTACCACCCTCCACACCGCCGCGCGTTAAATCGCGGTTTATACAGTACGCCCCTATCCGCTCAGACAATTTCGTACTTCTCGGGGAATAGCGACACGTTGACCGAGTGCTTGATGGCTTCGTTCGTATCCACTGACGTAACGCCTGTGACACGAATATCGGCCATGGACTTCTGACTGGTGAATGATACCGTCACCGGGAAAAAATCGCCCGGGGTGCCACCTGTCGGCAGACGGGGGAAGCTCGGATGTCATGCGGCCAGGGAGGCACCTGTTGAGATCACCCACGGAATTTGTGTCGATTTCAAAACCCGCTCAACAGGTAAATCTCATGGTAATATGTTGCAGGTGGGAAAGACCGAGATGATGACATCGCATTCCGAAACGGCACGCAAACAATTATCAGATACCGTCTAATATGCAAGGTTACAAAAAGTCCAGCAATACTGAACACAGTGTTCCCCTCTGACCTGAAAAAAAAACTGGTCAAAGAATATTTACTACTGATAATTGTGAGCACATAAAGAAGAGTTATTAATGGAAACATCCACTGCATAGGTAGTGCATGTTGCACCGGCAACCACACTCCTGAGAGGCCCACACCACATTTCCCGCCTTGGTATACCTACGGAGGTCCCATGCACCCCAGGTTCCCCCTCGCTCAAGGCAGGTCAAAGTGGCATCCCGGCCACCGACACATGATTAGAGATTAGGCCGTAACGTCAGCAGCCTTATATGCGCATAATCATTAACATATGTTTACTGCTGCCTCGAAAGGCCATGGCTGCTTTGAATAAACAACGTATTGAATAAACAACGTATTGAATAAATAAAGTACTCCCTACACCACCGAGGCCTGCACAGTGCACAGGTATTATTGGCAAGCGATGCCGACGGTGCCAAGCTTTGCATCCTAGCTTAGTGTGTGTATTGTTGCAAAAAGTCTGCTACCGAACTGACGCGACTTTCCAGCAGCCGACGCAGTCGGGGTCAGCAGAGATGCGTCTTCGCAGACCCTCCGGTTTGTAAAAGCAGCGGGAAAGTGTGTGTGTGTGTGGGGGGGGGGGGACAAAGCAGCAGGACGAGCTGACCAACGCTTAGACCACTGACCAGCGCTCTGACCAACCGACCAGTGCCTAGACTATTAGTCAAGGCGCTCCAGCCACTCTGCTCCGTACTGGCCAACGCTGCGACCCTCACCAGCGGAACAGCCTCCCACCCGCTCTAACCAGCGTTCTAGCCGCTGTGACCGGCGTTCTAGCCGCTGTGACCGGCGTTCTAGCCGCTGTGACCGGCGTTCCACCCGCTCTAACCAGCGTTCTAGTCGCTCTGACCGGCGTTCTAACCAGTCTAACCGGCGTTCTAACCACTTACCGGCGCTGAACTCCATCGAGCCGGACGCGTTGTCGCCATCCACTATCGGAATGTTCCAGAGCAGCGCGGGTCGCCGAGAGTCGTGTGTGTAGGTTCCGTCACACTCGGCGATTACGGGGTCACCGGTCCCGCGCACCAGCGGCACCTGTCGGCGGCGGATGGAACTTTAGCTTCGAAAACTCGCCGCAAAGACGGGTCATGGGCGGATAGAAAATATGGAAATATCTGATGTTAATGAGCTGGGAGTCATAGCAAACTTCGAAGTATTTTTGCTGAACACATCAAACACGAAAAAAGAGAAAAATGAGACGAAAAAAAATACTTCCACATGAACAGGAACAGCCACATTTCAGACAGGAGCAAAATAAATACAAACGTAATTTCAGTTGGATTACAGTCACAACGGAAGCTATTGCTCAAAGCTCATTTGATTTTTTTTTTCTACCGACGTCTGTCCCTCCCTGGCTGGATATCTCACCGATATGACCACATCGCTGAGCTCCATGTTCTTGTCTTCGAGCGAGTACTCGATGTTGACGTCACAGCCGCCGCTGCCATTCTCTGAGGGCCAGCAATTGATGCTCAGAGGAATGGCCGACTCGTCAGTTGTCTGGTAACGCCATCTGTGGAGAGAAATCGGAAACGGTAGTATTCGACAGACAACACGTGGGTGAAGCCGGGGTATTACGGCGATTTTTTGGGGTTGAGGCAGGGCCGATGAGGTGCCGCAGGCCAGTAGGAATTTTTGGATAGCTGCACCTTTCTACCGATGAAGTTCACACGTTTTCTTATTCTTCCAACAAGTCTAGAACCAACAATAAACCCTTTTTGCCATCTCTGAATTGCTCAAACAGGGCCCCAGCTCCAACTCGCTTATCTAAATCCAAGGAAACAGGCTGGGGCGTTTTTCCGGTATCGTTGTTCTTCATGCAATCACGATATGCCAATCAACAATAACAACATCAAAACGTCTACAATCCCCACTTTTTATCTTTCCGTTTTCAGCAGCCCAAGCTTGCATCTCCTGGTCAGTAGTCATCTCACCCACCTCTATCGGTTTTACTCTAACTCCATCCCGCCCCCCCGATCATCTCACCCACCTCAGCACTCCAACATCTGTGTTGACGGGGAACGGTTTCTGCACGTTCTTCAGTCGGATGGTCGACTGACCCCGGAAGGCGTCCTTGTCCACCTGTGGGTGCGTCTGGGTCTGCAGACCCCGTGTGTCATTGTTGACCACCTGAGGGGAGGGGGGGGGGGTTAGGTCAGCTCAGTGAGGGTTACTTACTTCAGGTCAGGTCAGGTCAGATCAGTGAGGGTGTCGTTACCTCCGTCAGGTCAGACAGGGTCAGCAAGGGCGCGGTTACTTACTTTAGGTGAGGTCAAGCAAGGTTAGTGAGTGTGATTGTTTCAGATTAGGCTAGATCATGACCTCCTTTTATAAAACTGAATAGCATCGGCTTCCCCTAGTCACTTGTACCACGCTCGTTCTTTTTTTTTGTCGAAGCTCCAGGTGCGACAAAAGGCGGAGGGCAGAGGTTCCCATACACGGGCCGTCTTCGGTTTTGCTATATTATGTTTTATTTGCTCATTTTGTTCGGTTCTATCTTCCTCTTTCTCGATTATCAGCACCCACTTCCCGCCCGCCCCCCCCCCCCCCGCAATAAAAAAAAACGCTTGAAAACAAGTAAATGAATGATTTTTTTATCACAATAAAAATATATTTGTCTAGAAGCATAATTCGGCAGAGCAGTACCCTCCTCTCACAGCCCATTTCTGCGCACTGAGTAAAGCTTCAGCAGCTGAATTGACAAAAGCACAGCGCTCCAGGCACCGAAGTCTCTAACCATCCGCCTGTCAGCGCACTGAGTGCCTGACATCGCTGATGGTAAAGTTGTGAGCCAAGAACTTCATTTCATTGGACCCACTATTTATGAAAAAAGAATTGGAAGGTGTTTCGATGACAAGCCAAGCAGGTCATTCAGAGGTCCGCTTGAAGACAGCAGAATTGACACAGGTTCTCCGATATTCAGAGAAACTTCAAAGATTGTCCCCGATCTGTAAGAGAAACAGTTTTTATTACGCTGGTGAGACCAACTTTAGAATATGCGAGCTGTGTATGGGATTCGTGTGGTGAGGCTTCGAAAAACGCGATTGAGATGATTCAACGACGAGCAGCTAGATTTGTAATGAATGACTATCTACGGTTTAGTAGCGTTAATGACATGCTGTCAAATATTAACTGGAAACCGCTAGATGTGAGACGAAAGGAGTCTCGTTTGTGTTTGTTATTTAAAATGTATACTGGCGATATTAAAGTAGATGTTAGCGACCTTATATGCCCGCCTTGCTACACTGGGAGAAATGATCATGAAAAGAAAATAAGAAGGATCCAATCTAGAGTCCTTTCATATCACCAATCTTTCTTCCCAAGAACCATACGTGATTGGAATAGTCTTCCCCATAATGTAGTAAATGCAACTTCCTTTAATGAGTTTCGAGAAATGCTATTAGCCTTAAGACCGCAGGAAAGCTAAATAGCTATATTTGATACTTTACGTAACGATAGCTAGAAGACGGTCTCCTGGTTTGAGAAGCTTGAAAAACTTGAGAAATAATGATTGGGTTGTTGCTACACAAAATGTGTTCCATAATGCTCTTACATCTCATGTGTTCATAAAATGACATGAAAATTTAGGAATGTGTGTATCTGTGTTTGCATATTGTGGGTTTAATGTCGAGTGCATATATGCAAGTGTTGCTAGCGCTACATATCATCACCAGGGCCAACTGGCATTTGTGATGACAACTATATGAATACAATGAATAGTAATCACGTGCTGAAACACATCGCCCGCTTTGCACCATAGCATTGCACAACATCCGTCGCTGAAAACGCTCCATCCAACAGAACACTAGCGGTCACTGAGAACTAACAACGTTCCAATTAGCTTAGCTAATAACGAGTGCCACTCAGTGACAGGAATGGACACCTCGTCAAAATCTGCCTTCACAAGGCATTACCAGCACGAATACGAAACCATTCGTTCATTGGGGTTTACGGGCCCGTAACAAGCCTGACCTGCACAAACAAACACAACCAGCACTCTCACTTCGACGAGAGGTGACGTCACTGACAGTGACCTCACTTAAAATCCGGCCCGGGGTGGGGCTTTGAGATTTCGTCGGCCATCTCGCGACACACGGTGTCGTAGCTGGGCGGCGCGGATGGGGAGCGGGGCTCGTAGGGAGGCGGCGCGCCCGGCGGCGTCTCCGGCCGCGGCGGAGCGCTGGGCGCCGGCGCGGCGGCGGGCGGTGGCTGGGACTCCGCCGGGCGGTAGTCGTACTGAGAGTAGGGGATCCGTCGCTGGGTACTGGGCGGACGGTAGCCGTACCTCGAGTACGGCAGCCGTTCGGTGGTCGTACCGGACCTCCCGTCGGCTGTCTGTCCGTCCTCTGTCTCCGGCCGGGTGTCGGTGGACCTTTTTCTGCAGCAGAACCAGCAGAGAAGACAGAGGAGGCCGCAGCCTGCCACCAGGCCCATCACCAGCTTCCTACTGTTGCCCACCCAGTCCCAGGGCTCCTCTGGGTTCGACGCAGCTACAGCGGCGGCGACGGCGAGGAAGGCGGCCGTGGTCGTCGTGGACGGCGGGTACGTCTGTGACATGACGATATCGTTCAGTTGGCAGTACCAGTCGGACTCCTTACCGGAGAGGCAGGAGCAGTACAGGGTGTCCCTCATCGACGTGACGCCACCATTCCGCTCCGTCAGCTCGTTAATACAGTCCACGTAGGTCTCCTCTTTCCTCCAGAAAGTCGGTATTGTTTCTGCGAGTAGCGGTCAGCGGCAAGGACACACCGGCGTATCACACGGCCATTGCCTCACAGTCCAGCCGGCGGACGCCGAGGCTCAATCACAGCCAACGCCGATACTAAACTCACGGCCCGACGCCAGCACAGACAGGTCCGGTTTGGGCGTCCACCCAAGCCCGCCCTCCGGGCACAACAGTGTCCTTGGCACTTGACACTACGCAGTAGTAGCGGCCAGCTAACATCGATCGCGCGACGCCAGAGACATCTAGCGGATGATGTAGAAAATAGTGAGCGAGGACGTACGGTCTTGTTCGAAAGTCGTGCATGATGTGCATGACGGACGGGAGTTTTTTAAATAGCACTTGACCGGCAGCTTTGGGCTGGCCACCCCGGATCATTGACAATGCCTAAGCCATTAGTCACAGCCTGCCACTGGCACAGGGGCGGTCGCAGACTTGGAGTTTGGGGGGGGGGGGGGCAACTTGGCAAAGGGGCCCCTGCGCTGACCCGGGGGGCCCGGTGCTAGCTTAAAGGGGCCCACGGGCGTAGTGCACGGGTGCAGAAATCTAGGCCATGGCCGGTGAAGCGGGGAGGGGGGGGGGTAGGGAGCGGCACCCGAGCGGAGGCTCATTGAGAGCTTTGAGGATGCACCATGTCGAAAAGGTACAGGGACCCGCAGTTGCTACTGTACACATATATTACCAATTTAGAATTGCGCTATTATTTGCTAAGTGCTGGCCATTGGAGAAAGGAAATGTAGCGCAAAGTATGGAGGAATAACACATGTTTGCTCCTAGCACGTATGTTTTGTATAATTCCTCATACCGCAACAGATATTCTTCCAAAACTACAATCGTGCTATTTTTACGCGCCGGTTGCCTCCCCAGAGCCCGTCCTTGGTATCGCCTATAGCTTCCGTTCCCGCTACGTGAATGAAAGTCACGTGACTACTACAGGTTTGCGCTCAGTACTAACACACCTAGCCCGAGGGCCGGTCCGTAGCGGGGAGGGGTAGAACGCCTGAGCTCCAGCGCAGTGGAGGTGGTGGTGGCCCGTATCATAAAGAGGCAACCGTAAGCAGAACTACAATTGCCGCAGTATAAGATTATGATCAAGTTTTCTTTAAATGTATTGATTGACAAGAAAGTGCAATGCTTATCCGATATAATAAAACGGTGTCCAAGGCCTTGGAAGAACTATAAAACATATTCAGCAACGTATAAATTTCTGATACAGGCCATGACCTTTCACCTTGCCTCCGGGGAGGACCGCTCAGGAAGCCACATACCGAACGAATCGAGGCCTCGCATGGCGCGGCGGCAGAGGAGGTGGATAAACCATCGCCAGATCTTTCGGTTACTTATGTTTCCAGAAGAAGGAGGAGGGGTGGAGGGCGAGGACTGTTTTCACCCCACTCACCAATCCTTTCCTTATTAACTTATAGCTTAACGATAAAATGCAACACAATGGTGGCCGTCACGAGATGTAGCGAAGAGTGCCTCAGCCACACCGGTTTTGAGTAAACTTTAAGCATTGGAATTCAGGCCAGTGATCCTGAAGCATTATTTTATTTTAGTCGTGCATAAGCTGGGATAACGTGGTTCAAGTTAATTGCGAAGAAACGGTATGAGTTTTAAAACATTTATGAGGCTAGTCGCGCCAAATAGTAGGTATACGTTTGTTGTAACATGTCAAATAGAATGTTGACGTGCTATCCAGATGATGGAATTTATTTGACACAAAAGTCAAAAAGTGGCATCGTTAGTCATCCTGCATACCTATAAATCGATTCGTCACCTTGGTTCGAGCTCAATAGTTCTTTTCGCGGATGATCGGTTTCGTTTTTTTTTTGGGGGGGGGGGGTACAGTTTATGAGCCAGTAACCACCCTCCCCAGTCCCCCAAACAACAATTGTTGACAAATACTGTGATGGCCTAAAAACTGCCCTCAATTGTGTAACGTAGGGAAGAATGAGGTAAGTTGAGCCGCTTTTTGTTTTTCGTAAGCTACATGGGCTAAATACTGATCATTTTTCTGCGTTTACGGGTTGGACGGACAGAGTGGTCATTGCGCATGTAATGGTGGCCAGAAATGTTTCATACCGCTTATTTTTGTACTGAAAGGCTACGTCAAAAATCATCTTGCACGTTGCTCATCTTACCCCATGGGCGGGGTAAGTTGAGACACGTCGTGGGGAAAGATGAGCATGGATAGAAAAAGCGAACCTCTTCTTTTCCCGGGCGCGGCGAAGAGTGGGCTCTTTTATATACTCCCTGGCATACATACTTATGGCAAAGTTTTTTTCCTCCATCAAAAAGTGACTGTTTAAAGCCTTCCAATAACTCGTCAAGTTTTCTATCACGAAAAAAAATCATTTTATCCTTCAGATAATCTGCAAATCACTTACAACTTGTGTAATCAACAAAG